CGGCGGAAAGCCCCGCAGGCGGTTGCCACCGCCTCGGGGGGGCCTGGGCCGGCCGCGCCCCTGTGGGCGGTGGACCTGGCGGGACCCGGGCGCTTGGGCCTGGTCTTCGGCTGCGACGAGCGCGATGGCGACGACCCTCCGCCCTTCGCGAGGCCTCCTAGATGGGGCCGGAGTAGATGGGGTCGAAGGATCGCGCCGCATCGCCGATGCATCGACGATGCGGCTCGATGCGGAGCCCGACTTCTCCGCGCCGACGTCGCCGATGCATCGCCGACGCATCGCCAATGTATCACCGAGGCATCGCCGATGCGGCGCGATCTTCGGACTCCATCTACTCGGACCCCATCCAGGAGGCCTCTACCTTCGCCGCCTCCCCGCGCCCCCGTCGTAGGTTTAAGTCGGGCCTGTCTCTCCACAGGAGGAATATTCAAAAATAGTCCAAAAATGATATGGGCACCATTCTTTACATGTTTGGACTATGTTTGAACAATTTCTGTGTATTTTTTTCTTTTCATCCAAAATTCCCCTGTAGGGGGACATGCCCGACCTAATCGGTGACGGGGGCGCCTGCGAAGAAGGAGGGGGCACAAGCGAGGAGGGGGGAGAGGGGCGGGGAGGGAGAGGGATGACTGATGGAGAGTGGAGGAAGAGAGAGGAGGGGGAAGAGGAAGACGACAGGACGCTGAAGGGGGGGAGGGAGAAGACGCCCTGCGATGGACCAGCGAAACGCAGATCGCCGGAGGCATTTCGGACAGATGAATCCTCCACTCGCGCGAATTAGGTTTGATTTGCAGTGGGGCAGCCAGCGATCGATAATAGTACCGCGGTCGAACAGAGGGTTTAGCTCTGGTTGTGACGCACTGTGTTGGAGCAGCCGCTCGGGGAAATAGACAGCGTCATTCAAGAATTGGCTCTCTTTCACAGTTCAAGGAAGTACAGATTCGGATACCCAATTTCTTAAACGATTGTCCAGAGACTTACGTCATTCCGCCGACTCTAAGAAGAAGAGATGTGCGGCTTGCGATTTCGCGTGTGTTGTTTGCCACTTACCGTCGTGTTGCCTGCCGGTAGTTATTGTCGATTCGTCCTCATCTTCCTCCGCGTCTGTTGCGAGGCTTCTTGGGGCCCTCTTGGGAGGGCCCAGGGGCCGCCTCTGGGAGTGTGTTTGGGGCTCCTGGATACTTTGGGTGGCCCTCTGGGGGCCTCTTGGGGGCCTCTCTGGGACATGTTGGCGGTCTCGGGGGCCCTCTTTTGTGGTTACGGGCTCTCGGGGGGTCCTGCTGGTTCCTCCTCTCGGGCCTCTCTTGGGCCCGTCTTGTGGCGTCTTGCGGGTTTTGTTTGGCCGTCCTGGGGTTAAGTCGGGCCTGTCCCCCTACAGGCGGAAGGCGGATCCTGGACGAAAAAAAGATCAAGCAATAATCAAAAACATCGTCCCCATACTATTGTTGACTATTTTTGAATACTCCTCCTGCAGAGGGACAGGCCCGATTTAATCCTGGGGGCCTCTTGAGCTGTCTCTGGGCCCTGGAGGCCTCTTGGGCCAGTCTGGGTGGCCTCTCTCGCGCCGTTCTCGGGCCTGCGGACGCCCAGGAAGGCGGGAGCGCGAGCATTACTCGAGAGCTCAGAGTCAAGATCAAGGTCAAGCCTGTATGCCCGCGAAGGGGCGGCCGCTTAGGGCACAGGCGGGTGAAAGCTAGCAGGTGCTCATGTGGTGAAGGAAATCTCCGGTCATACACTTCCAAGAACGTGCCTCTCTGGCTGCTACTCTCCAGTCACCGATCCCTCGGGCCTGAACTAACATTAAGTCGGGCCTGTCCCTCTACAAGGGGAATGTTCAAAAATAGTCCAAAAATAGTTTGGGGACGATTGAATTTTTTGGGGGTATATTTCTGATTTTTCGTCCAAAGTCCCCCTGTAGGAGGACAGGCCCGACCCAGAACTGACGGGGTATCAATGGTGCCTGCCTCTTGAGGCCTCGTGGGGAATCCTCATGGAGCCCTCGTTCGGCGCCTCGGGCCGTCTTCAGGCCAGGCTGAGTACTCTTGAGGCCTCTCCTGCGCGCCGGAGCCCCACTGGAACAACCTCCTTAGAAACATCATATGGGCATACCGGCCGCCACGGAGGCTTGATCTCGAGGCTCCGAGGGCCCAATTGTCGCGCTGAAAAGCTCCAGGTCCCCCTCCCACCCACCCACCCTCCCCCCGCCTGCTATATAACAACACTTTGAACCCCCAGGGAGGGGGAGAGGGAGGGGGGGACCCGGCTGAACTCGGACCCGGCTGATCTCGCACCCGTTGAACTCGGATCCGGCTGGTCTCGGGCCCGGCGGAACTCGGACCCGGCTGAACTCGGACCCAGCTGAACTCGGACCCAGCTGATCTCGGACCCTGCTGAATTCGGACCCGGCTGAACTCGGACCCAGGCGTTCCCGCTGCAGCGCGGGCCTCGGCTTGAGTTCCCTTGGGTCTGAGTTCAGCCTGGTCCGAGTTCAGCTGGGTCCTAGTTCAGTTGGGTCCGAGTTCCGTTGTCCGAGGCGGGGATTTTTGCTTGACCACCGCCTGGAGGATCAATTTTCTGCGACCTCGGCAGGCGGTGGATATGGACATATTCGGGCCCTCGGGGGCCAAAATATATCCATTTCCACCGCCCGCTGGGGCACCAGGACGTCGTTTTCCAGGCGGTGGATATGGATAAATCCCCGCCTCGCACGTTGGGTCCGAGTTTACTTGGGTCCGAGTTGTCTGGGTCGGAGAGCTAGGTCCGCGTTCAGCCTGGGTGCGAGTTCAGCTGGGTCCGAGTTCAGCTGTTTTCGAGTTCAACTTGTGCCTTAGCAGGGCTCGGCGGATTGTTGGGCGAATGTGCCGAAACTCGAAGCGTACAGATTACTTTCGAATGCTAGTATTCGATCGTCCATGTGTTCGCCCTCCGCTGCATGAGAATACGTCTTCAGCGGGACCGAATATGTGGTCCAATTGACGTATGGGCGGAAGCAGGTCAGTCACACTCACGCTGAGAGAGGCGTTGCTTGCGCAAGAAGATCGAATACCAATGCTTCTCTTCGACGAGAAGGCTCACTTACCAGCTGTTCGAACTGCAAGTTTGAACTTGAAGGTGCTGCCGAAAACACAAAGTGAAATGCCGATGCTCAAACAGTGCAAATCCAAGACTGCTTTCGTATCAACACGTGCTGCTCTGATGCGTCTAGCTCCAGCCTCCAAAACAAATGCCACGTTGATGATTTTCCTCCCCACGTCCCACGACCCCAGGACTCCACAGCTTGCTTGCCCTCATCCTTCTGTTTCCTAGAAGCCTGCACACTTTCCCCCCCCTCTCTCTGCCTCCCACATTCATGTACTTCCCGTGGCCCAGCACCACGAAGTCACCGTCCCCCTTCTCGCGCCTACTTGGCTGCACGTTCCCCGTCTCCTCCGCCCATCCGCCACCCGCAACCTCCGAGAGACGGGGTGATGGGAGCCCCGACCTCCGACCTCGCGATTTACTCAACCATGGGCCCCAAACCTCCCGTGCTTTCCTACAATTCGCTGCGTCGTTTTCGCTAGATACACTTCCGCTAGATACATTCGTATATTTGAAATGTAGGAAACGGTGTTTCGTGATTTCCTACAATTTGTTCTGCGCGAGCTCGGCGTCACAAACATCATATTCCCAACATCGCCGTTAACCAACATCGCCATCATGTGAGGGCCCCGCGTCCTGGAAACCAGCCCCCTTCAGACGTGGAAGAGCCGGCCTTCGAGATTTATCGGTTTGCGCTGGACGGCCAACCCTTTAGAATGGAGACCCATGCCAAGAAACACCCTGCTTGCCTCCAGGGTGCCCTGGGTTTCTTCGGTCTCGATGGCTTTGCGATGGAGGGCGTGACGTTCCCGCACCAAACATCAATGGACGTCGTGGGGTCTCAGGATTGGGTTCCTTGTGGAAGGTTTCTTGTGGTCGAGCTCCTACTGTAGGGTTAAGTCGGGCCGGTCCCTCTACAGGAGAAATTCTCAAACATAGTAAGAAATAAGGGGACGAATTGTTGAGTATGCGTTGACCAGTTTGGTTTATGTTTAAGATATGGTTGACTTCTTCGTCCAAAGACCGCCTGTAGGGGGACATGCCCGATCTAACTGTAGGGTCATCTGCCACGCCCCTCAAGCTCTTGTCGGTTTGCGCCAGCCTTCGCTGCCCACGGATCCCGTTGTGGCTGCGGGACGTGCTCGCTCTCCCCCCGTGGACGCGCTGACGGTGTGTTGGCTAACGGCGAAGTAGGACAACCGATTGTAGGAAGGCGTGGCTCGTGGCCAAAGCAAGTTTAGGACATCGTGGTTTGCGCTTTCCTGCAATTCGCTGCGTCGTTCTCGCTAGATACATTCGATAGTTGAATTGTAGGAAGCGGTGGTTCGTGATTTCCTACAATTTGTTCTGCGCGTGCTCGGCGTCACAAGAGTCAGATTCCCAACATCGCCGTTAACCAACATCGCCGTTAGCGCGGCCTTGGTCGGCTGCCTGATGTCTTCTGGATTTTCCTGTATACATGGAAGCTGGAAAAAGTGACTGGGGCCAGCCCTTCCACTCTTTCCAGCCCTGGCCAGTCTCCCTTTATTCTTCCAGTCCTGGCGACCGCATCCCTACTGTTTCGGGCTCGCCTCACCCACTGCCAGTTTCTCCAGCCCTGGCCACGTCCACTTTCGCTGATGTTCCAACTTCCACTTTTTCCAGTTCCCCTGCACGCGAAGCATACCACAAGGGCGCCGCGATCAAAATAGTGCACCATGTGCTTGGATACTCAGGATCTACAGTAGTCTCCTGGCCAACCAGGTAGCACGCATGGGTTCTAGGTCAAAGGCACCTTGTAAACCGTTGAGTGTCTCTTGGGAAGTCTCTGGAAGGCTTCCTGGAGACTCTTGCGGGCGTCGTGGGTGCTTTCGGGGCCTCGTAGGGCTCTCTTGGGGAGAACGGTTCCCAAGGCCAGTTCGATATCCAGCCGCTCTGGCCCCTTGTGCTATCTTGAAGCAATATCGGGCCGTCTTAGGGCCCTTATGGGCCGTCTCGGAGCTTCTTTGGGCCATCTTGGAACCCTCTGGGGCAATTTGAGTGCATCTGGGAACGTTTCCCTGGCAGATGGGGCCGCCGCCACAGTTGAGCAGACCCCCGCGTCCAAATCGGGCTGGACCAGGCGCCCCGGGCAGGGGTTGTGGTCAGCGGTTCAAAGATGGAGCCCTGAGGAATGGGGCCCTGAGGACAGGCAGGGCCGCCTACCATCCGATTCGATGCGATTCGATTCGCCAGCTGGGGCCGCGATTCCAATTCAATGCGATCCGCCTCTGTTCACCGGCATCGGCCAGGGCCAGCCAGAAGCGGGGCGCGGCGATTCGATGCCGATCCGATTTGGGACGATTTGCTGGCGATTCGATCCGCTCTCGATCCGATTTAGCGATCCGATCCAGCGCAGACCTGACAGGAGAGGCTCCCAAACGAAGCCGTCAGTATTTGAGGCCACTCGTGCTCCTGGCCCCAGCCCTCAGGGCTCAACCTTTGAACCGCGGTTGTCGAAAGGGGCAGACAATTTCACGCGGCGGGGAAGCCCCGAGGTTCGAGGCGAGGATTTATCCATAACCATCTGTTTGGGGATCGGTCTTCGCGGACCCCAGCGGGCGGTGGATATGGATGCATTCGGGCCCCCTGGGGCCCAACTCTACTCACATCTACCGCCCGCTGGGGTCCCATGACGTCGACTCCCAGGTCCCAGGATCGATCCCCGTCTCGCACAAGGGGCCGGAGAGTTCGCTCCGCGGCGCCCGAGAACTGCTGAGGGAGGATGGGCTGGCCGGCGGGCGCACCTGGCCCCCCCCCCTAAGATCGGTGGTTCAAAGATGGGCTCCTGAGGGATGGGGTCCTAAGGACGAAGTGCTTCAAACAATGTAGATCAACCCTTGGATCCCTTCCTGTCCTTAGGAGCACATCTTCGAACCACCGACGAGAGGCGAGGACTTCCCGAGCGGCGTGGCCGAGCAGCTGCATGCTGTGGGCAGCATCCCGCAGCAGGCCCCCGGCACGCTGAACCTGTCCAACGCAGTCTCAGTCGTCGCGTACGAGCGCCAGCGTCAGCGGCAACCTCCACCAGGTCTGTGGTTCAGAGGAGGGCGGGTTGAGACAGCGGTAGCTGAGTTTCGAGGCACCCTCGTCGCCACGGTTGGACGCAGCTCGGAAAATTGGCGCGTTTGGACCCCAGGAGGGATCTGGGGATCGACTTTGAGTCGCCATTGTCTCAATTCGCCCTCCGCCGAGTGGTCGGCTGGCGGCGGCGCCAGCGTCGGCTGCAGCGGCGGCGCAAGCGTCAGCGGCGCAGCGTCATCATCAGCGGCAGCGGCGCTGGGGCGTCGCTGCCAGCGACGCCTCGGCGTCAGCAACGGCGCCGGCGGCAGCGGCAGCCTCCACGGTCCGCTGGACACCCTCAGGGCCAGGGCACGCAGGAGCGATTGAACGGACCCTCCAGGGGCCCCCGTATCAACCAGACAGGCAGCAACGAGCTGCCCGTGCTTGTTGCTCTGCTGCCCCTTGAGGTTCTTGCTCCTGGGCACCCCTGGGCGCTCTCAGGGCGGTCAGCTCACCACAGCACGAGGTGGCCGGGGACTCGCGGGGGCTCTCCTGCGGCTGGTGCTCGGGGCGCGCTCGTGGCCCCGGCGCGGCTGGCTGGAGCGCGGGCGGCTGCCGAGGAGTCGGAGCACGCGGAGCGGCTGCTGACCGCGAGCTCCCCCGCCCTCCCCCTGCTGGCCATCGGTCTGGACCACAGGGGTGTCTCTTCGCTCGTGCCCGCTATAGCGATGCTTCTGCTCTTCCACTGGTGGCCCCTCGCTTGCCCAGATCGATCGGCAGCAGCGGTGGTAGGATTCGCATTCGGTTGCCTTGCCGGGGGGGGGGGGGGGTCGGCCTTCCAAGAGGGCAGGGGTAGGTATTATTTTGCAGCCTGCCTGCCTGCTGAGAGGCCCCCTCGGAAGCCCCCAGCTCCTCCCAAGAAGCTTCCTGCCTTCTCAAACAGGCCGCCCCCCCTCGCCCCCCCCCACACCCACTGGCGCGTCGTCGGGCACTTCCCGCGGGAGCCCGCTGAGCAGGGGCATCTGGCCCGCGAGCGTGGCGCCAGCTCGGGTGAAAGCGGGCCGCTCTCCTGACCTGGGTGTGTTCGCGCGCTTGGTTCGCGTATCCGTCGTGCACCCCTTCGGTCGTCAGTTGCATGCGGATGCGCGTAGTATACTGTCTGTGCATGTTTAGTCGCAGGCGTCCTCCTGTCATGATTGGTATGGGCAGTCGTTGCACCATGAGATGTGGTGATTCAGCGTCCACTCGCGCATTTTTCGCAGTGTTGATTCATGATGCTGGTCCCCAGCTCTGGGAGATGTGCAGGCGGAGGAGGACGGCGGAGGGAGGGAGGAGGCGGGGGAGGGGAAGGAAACGGATAAGGAGATCAAGCTTCCCCATCTTGTTTAGTGGTACGATCTCGTCCTAATCCTTGTCTAACTTAGAGGCTATTCAACAGCGCTGGCGATGGCAACGATCTGCCATCATGGGTTGCGCAGTTGCAGACGAATTTCAACATCCACACCGAGCTTGCAATACAGGGGCATACGGATGCGATTACCACTGAGTTCGAAGCGACGATCGGAAGAGCAGCAGCACGCCGTAGTGGTGTCTATGGTCTGGGCAGCTGAGACCGTCGAGCCATAGAGGAGGGAAGGTAAGTCACAGTTGGTCGAGATCCAAGGTTCCTGTAAGTGTGGGAAGCATATCATGAAGGGCATCGACCGACCAGTAGACTCGTCGGTGCGCTCTTTCAGTCCATACTTGTTGGGGAATCCGAGCGTATCAAAAGTGACAGTATAGTATCCACATCATCCCCAAGTGCAGAAACGAGACTTCCGGACCACCAACTCAAGGCGGATGCAGCTCTGGGTGCACATGTGGCCAACGCCCAAACCCCTTCGAACGTAACTCGACCCTTGGGAGGGTGCGCGGTTTCGCCGAGGCCGAAACCGACTCATCTTACACAGGTTTTGCAATATGGGTTGAGAGGCCCAAGGCGCAGGCTGGCCACGACGCGGAGGTGCGAGAGGATTCCACCATCATTTTGGCCCAGGCCGTCCGCTCAGTGATCCAGAGGTCCTTCTTCGAGATGCCCGCGGCCGTCTACAAAAGGTTGTGGCGCGTCTGGGGCTAGGGGTGCCCAGGGGGGCCTGGCTTTGGAACAACTTTTTCACCGACGTCATTTAAACTAGATTGAGCTAGCGCATCCGCTCTGGCAGGTCAATGTGCCGCGTCTTACGGAAAGTGGGCGTGAGAGAAGCTGTCGCGCGGTTTCAAGATATTCCCATGTGGAATTTGCGAGCATTGTTTTCCCAGTGCCGGACAAATCAATGCTCACTATGCATGGTGTTCCTTTTGGGAGCTGCTGGGCAGGTTGTTTTGACCACGTCGGCATCCTCAACGCCCACGTAGAAAAATGTGCACAAGGTGTTCCGATTGAACCACTGTCATGCGGTGGCTGATTAACGACGCCCGCGGGCCGTGCTCACCCAGCCCCAGGTTCTTCCTACCTGCCTCAAGGGTTGGACGCACCGCACTGTTAACGACAAGGGGGACTCCCCGAGAAAGGCATGTCGTTGCAAAAAGAACCTTGCATCAATCGAGGTTGATATGCGGTAAATTAATTCATAGGTCCCCCACAGTTGCTGCGCGGGGAAGACCACTTCAGATGAGCTTCCGAAGCCGAGCAGTAACTCTTGAAAGCGCGCGCGCGCTCCCATGCGGCGATGAAGCCCGGCGCATCGAGAGACGCATGCGTCCAACGCGGCGGAACAGACGTCGGGAATGCGCACAGCAACAGCTCAATACACTGAAGGCTGATTAGACCAACGGGGTGTTTTCCGACAGTAGCCCTCGACTTGCCGTCCGCAATTTCCGAAAACCTTTCCAACAACCTCCAAGAGTGGGCGCGCGAATTGCAATTGTTTGGCACGGACACACTCGGCTGCCGCCTCGACCCAACCGACTTGGCCCAGCTGATGGGCCTCGTCTCTCAGACGCCACCCAGCAGATAGACGGGCACATGCGGGCCCATCTAGTGTTCGACGTATTCGATTTGATCCTAGCCCGCGCTTTACCGGCCAGTACATACGGCGTGGCCGCGGACGGGATCTCAACGGATGCCTCCAATGCATTGCCGTGGAGTGCCGTCTGCGGCTTCTTCCAAGGCCGCCTCTGTTTCGAGTATGGTTCTGGAGAACATTGCAGCTTCTTGGCATGCTAGAGCCTTGAAATCTTTGCGGTCGACTTGCCCGTCCACCGCCCTGCAGAACATGTCGATTCGATCACCTCGACCGCAGCTGCGACGACAGCTGCCCTGCGCGCATTCTTGTGGCAGCGAGCCGCTCTGCCGAAATCCTTGCGTCGCGACGTCAACGTGCCATCTTCTGCACGTGGGGCGCGCGCCGAGGCGAGACATCCGGAATGGTTTGCAGAATGTCGAAATTGTTTTGCGATCCCGCGCAGCATGCGCGCATCGCCAGTGCCCCGCGCACCCGGGGAGAAGGCGCGGGATTGACCGCGGCGCATCTGCGCGAGTTGGCCAGACTCTGAGCGACCATCGGGCTCTCAGGCGCTGAAACCACCGACGCCACTGACTACTCTTTACGCCGCAGCGCGGCAGGGTCGACCCGCGCGCGCGCTCCAGCTGGCCAGGAGCGGGCGCGCGAACTATCTGGCTGCGAGAGGGCGGGGGGGCGGAGGACGGCCGCGCGGGCCCAGAAAATATGGGGGGGCGTTCGTTGCGCGAGGATTTTCGTCAGGAGTGGCTGGCGCGGCCAGCCTGTGCCGAGGCAGCCCGGCAGCGGGCGCGGAGCGGCATCGCGGCCGCGCCTGGGGGCTGTGGCAGAGGCTGCAGTCGCAGAAAACGCAGTTCAAGTGGCGCCAGTGCGGGAGGGGCGGTTAGCGAGCCCACAGCAGCGAAAACAACTGGAGCACCAGGTGTCCGTCGCGAGGCCGTTGGAGACAGGCTTTCTGCTATAATTCGGCGCGACCAGGGTGCGAGCATCGCCGGAGCGACCGCGCGGGGCTGGGGCCGCTGGGCCGCGCAGCAAAATGCTGCCGCGATGCCAGCGAGAGTGGCCGCAGGCAGCTGGGCCGCAACAGTTCAGCTGCTGAGCGGCAACTGCTGCGGGGCCGCATGCTGCTGAGCTGCGGCGACTGAACAGCCGAGCTACGGCGAAGCGGCCCGCCGCCGGCGGGGGGCACCCGGGCGGCGGCGGTGCCGGGGGCAGAGGGGGGGAGGGGCGGCCGGCCTGGCCAGCGCACGCATTGCAGCCAGGAGAGGCAGCAACGCCCCGCCGCAGGGTTCTCCCGGCGCGGGCGCCCAGCTGCAGGGGCAGCGGGGCAGGCGACCCCGCAAGGCCGCGCGAAGGGCCCCCCAGCGCGCAGCGGGCAGAGGCCGCGCGGAGGGCGGCGCCAGAGTGCAGCGCGGCTGACGGGAGACTCCGCGGGAAGCAAGACGCCGCCACCAGCTGCGCTGGGATCGCCCCTCTAGACCCCGCCCAACCTATTTCGAATCGGCGCGCCGGATAGGGGCGCGTGCTATCGCTGCTCTGGCCCCTCCAGCCTGTCATTTGAATCGACGCGCTCGGTCCGCGCTCATACCTCTGCGGCAGCGCCCGCCCTGGGGGCGGGCGCCCCAGCCAGGCTCGCTTTGCGTCAGCGCCCGCCCGGGGGGCCAGGCGCTCCAGCCAGGGGCGTAGAGGGCGGGGCCTACCTGGGAAGGTGGGCGCTCCAGATGAGCAGGAGAGGTGGGGCGCGCCACCTGGGGGGCAGCGCGCGGGAGGAGGCGCCAGATAGGCGCGCGGACAAGTGGGGGAGGCAGGGGTTGCCCCGGGTGGGCAGGCCCGCCCGCGCGCCGTCGCGGGCGCGCGCCTGGGGGGCGGGGGCCGCGTGCGCAACGCAACCGGGCGCCGGCGCAGAGTCCCTGCGAGAGCCCACCTCGGGGGGCAGGTGCCCAGGGGCGTCGGGGCCAGGTAAGTCACCGCGCAGGGCGCGCGGTCAGACTGCGCCCGCAGTCGCGCGCCGAGCGAGGCAGGGCGCCCGCGAGCCACAGGGCGGCACCACATGCGCGATCTGAGGCTGCGCTGCCCAGCCAAGGAGTGGCTTCTCGGGAGGCTATATAGATGCCTCGTGGACGGGACTGGGCCCCTGGACGACCAGGTGGCGTCGCCGGCGCGATTGCCCCCCTTGCCCCCCCCGCCAGCACGCATTTGCCGCTCCTGCTCTTGGTGCCGCACATCGCCCCAGTCGAGCGTCATGCGCCGGCAGCGGGCCCGCGCGCCGTAGTAGGAGGCGTTCAGGTCAGCGAGGAACTGCCCGCAGAAGTCCTCACAGCCGCCAGGGCTGCGGCGCCCCCTACCCTATCCCTTGCCATCTCATTCGTCGCGGGTACGAT